GGCAGAGGTGCCACTGTTCCTGCTAGTACAAACAAGGATGCGAATAACCTCAAGCAAACATTGACACAGTGAAGCAATATTTCTCGCATTGAGATCTTTTTTTCTTTCCTTTTTTATGATGACAACTGAGGATCTGTTCAGACAAATCAAAGCTCACCATGTCAAGTCACAACTTCTCTGTGTTACTGTCCCCAACCCCCCCCCCCAAGCCTTTAAAAAAGAAAAACAATATTCTGAACAAGCTAAACTTATCTGTGCTGTTTGATTTACTTTGACATATTGTGGTGTTGCGTTTTTTATTGTCACTTCTATGTTTGCTAAAAGCAGAGGGACAACCACATCCACATACTTGGAACTACAGTGAGCAAACATTTAACAGTCCCATCTCTATGCAACCTTATCTACGGGTTCATTTTAGGGTGTGTGAATATTTGCATGTGTGCGCAAGTCAGTCTCACACCGAGCGCAAAGAGAAGGGAAATCTAGCACAAGGTCTGTATTTTAGTTTGTATAGTACAGCCCATGAAAAGCCATTAGCACGTTTAAAGTGTCTTTGCTGATGCTGTTATAACTGCATGAGTTAGTCCTGTAGGAGAGGTGGAAATCCTCATTCTGTATCAGCTCAAAGTGCCGTAAAATTATCAAACAGCTGAGAGGCTGGACTCACGTGACGGTGTTGGTGTAACTCCTTGAGCTGGATCTCCTGCTGTTCTTCCTCTGACTTTGAGTGCCACCCATTTTGAGCTTTCCACTCTTCAACAGATGAACAGACACATTCCACTACTGTATTTATTTCCCTCAGCTAGCAGTCATCGTCCTCATCGGTGCACTGCTGTCAGATTTCTTTCTTGACAGGTAGGTCCTCCCTCCTCTGCTCAGCTACTTTCGCAAGTCTCCTCCCTCAGTTTAACTGCGCTCACCGAGAGTAAACGTTCAATTTGTAAAACTACTGTAATAAAATTGGGAGGGATCTGCTTGTGTCTTGTGTTGCTCAGTTGTTTTGTGTATAAAGTCTAAGGCATAAAAAGATATTGTTAGTCATGAGATAAAGTGGGATGTGGCTCAGGGCTTTTGAGAGATCTGGCTTGACCAGTTCCCGATGCTGAAAGAGTATTCAGAAGAACACAGAGCCACTGTTCTTTGAAGTGCAGGCTTTTCTATTTCTATTTTCTTTTTGCAAGTTTTTATGCAGTTTGTGTGAAACGACTCTTAGTACAATCGGAAACAAACAGCTGCTTTGATTGGTGCTGTGAAAATGTCTTGGGTGTTTTGATGAAGTGCATTTTCCCATCTCTACAACACAATCAGTGCCAGTGAAAATCATTCGGAAAAGTAAAAAATCCATAATGCTCAATGTCAAATGACTATCAGAAACTATGCACTGTGTGAGTTAATGCTGCTAAAATGGCACTGACCCGTAATGTAGTCAGGCATCAAAACATTCAGCGTGGATCCTTTTGAGTGCTGCAGGTTACTGTGTGAGGCATATTTTACTTGACTGGATGTGTTAATAAATAATAATATATGTCAATATGAACACCAGCACCCAAGGTTACCTATCTGGGGATTGCATTGCGAGGAAATGATCAATTTTTAAATTTACCTCAACTGTCTGTCGTATATTAGTTGTGGCTGATTTACGATTAGTCCTGACGCAATAGCTCTTTATTGGACTGCACCATCACAAGCAAGTGGAAACAAGTCTCCTCAAGTCCCTGGAGCTGGAAAAGTATCTTAGTTATGTGACAGTAATCTGCAAACATGGAGTAAGTATTTAGAGGGTGGAAAGTTTCAAGGAAAATGTGGTGTGGCCCAAGGAAGATACCTTAAATATTGTGATCCTAGCTAGCTGGTTAAACAAGCCATAAATGAGGGAACCACAGCCGTAGTTTTGAAACAACTGGAACATTATTAAACTGATATCTGCCTTGCACAAAGATGCCTTGTTTTGCGGCCGATCATGCTTTGAGCTGTAAATTCTGTCAAGAGCCAAGGAGCATGAAAAGGTCAGCCAGTTTTCATACCACACATTGCATCACATGGAATATACTGGGCGACACAGACTTGCAAAAAACAGACATTCATTCAACTAGTATCTGATAAAAAACAAAAGGACTCCCATATGCCTGACAGAGGGCACTATGAAGGGTGTGTCAGGTATTTGGGTGTATCGTACCTCCAATCTTGATCGTTTAGATGAGTATTTCCTGCAGTAATTTTCTATTTGATGTACTATATGGATATTTAAAATGAAGAAAGCAAAATATATTTTGTTAAATAATTTTTAAGTGTAAACAAGAATAAAAGACTATAAAAGCTGGGTTTGAAATAACCCAGTAAGTTTCTAATTATAGGAAACTATCTATGCTATTTAACTAGGATTAACAAAATTGGATGAAATGAAATGGTACAAATTACATTTAGTACATGAAACAGTTATTTTAATGGAAGGTAATTATTAAACTATAAATCCAATCACTGAATGAACTCAGCTGTGAAATTTACTCAATAATGGCCTCAATAACATTTAATTTTCATAGATTAGCAAAATGAAGATGAACATGTGGCCTGATATCTCTAAGTTGTTGAGAAAACTCGGTGGACTGTTCAGGGTTAACAAAAAAGAGAGAGGGAGAAAATCTGCAGAATTATAATCTCTCACACCCAAGTGAAAAAAAATGCCGCAGACATAAAATTATAATCATCTGTCTTTGAGTGACCTCATGTGACAGACTGGTATGAAACCAGAATCTGTGTAGTTTAGTGTTTGTTGGAATGACCACAGGGTTTAATGAGAGAAAAACTCCTCCCTCCATCATCAGTCGCAGGACGTAAATCATTTCTGTGGCTTTCCATAATAGTTAAGGACCGCAATGCAAGCACGGGTGACAGCAACATGAATTACGGTAAATATATGTCAGAAATACAGTTCAGTGAGTAACGTGACACCAGGGTTTCATTATTTAGAAAATAAGTTGAAGTCTGTGTGGTGTATTACATAGCAGGGAGCAGTAAGAAAACACAGTTAAAATTGGATTCTAGCGGCTGTGTGCCAAAGTAAAGCCGCTGTACTGTATGTAATATGCAACAGAAGCAGCAGTGAGCAGAGGGAGCAGGGTCACAGCCACAAAATGAAGCCTTTACATACAGCAGGGAGTCCTCTTGTCATTATAGTATGTCTGTGTGTGTTTCTACAATGATGAAAATTTATGATTATTTGCTATTTTATTGCAACAGCTTACTTTCTTTTTCCCTTTGGCCACACCATGACCGTCTGCCCCAATCTAACACTGTGTTATCTCAGTCTCCGTCTGTGCATGTGAGCCTATTGAGAGGCATGAGACCAGAAGTGACACGTCGGAGGAACAGTACTGCAGTGACTCAACAACCCCCACTTCTGCTTCCGCCTCTGTGTGCCCTCTCGGCCATATCCGTTTGCATAAAATCTCAGCCTCTGGGCCTCTCAACATCAGAGCAAAGCTGAAGACGCAATATATTACTATTTTTAAACCTGACTGTGACTCAAAAAGAAATTCCACTTGGTATATGTAAACATAAAAAATCACGAGGAGAGCAGAGGTGGGGATGTGGGGGGTTAAATATCCACAGGTCATCCATCTTGATCTTTTCAGCCAAGAGGAAATAAACCTCATTCCAGCCACATTCCAGCAGCTGGAGCCAGCTCTTACTGTTTTACTCCTTTTTATATCTGCACTCTTTGAAACTCAAACATCTTAACAGAATAGGATCTTGTGTAGAACTAAAGCATACAGCCTCTAACTGTGTATTTGAATAAGAACTGTCTGTGTATGTGACGCCATCCAGCTCAGTTTAAATATCCAGGTTAAAACCTCTGTGCTCCACGCTGAAAGGAAATTCCAACAGCACTGCAGCTTTCTCATGGCAAGTGACTCACTCAAAGCCACTGATGAATGTCTTCCACCCGTGGCCTTTCCTGCTTGGAAAAGGCCCCTCTGGGTGTGTCTCCCTGTGACCTCATCTTCCCAGAAAATTCTCCAGAAACTTCAGCAGCACATGATGTAGCCCCTGTGCAAGACACCGGCAATAACAAACCAGTCTGTCTCTAAAAGAGTCTCACTTGGCTTATCACGTCATCTCTTACGGTAGTGTGTCTGTGCCTTAGTCTGCTCAGTCAATCAGAGCATCACTGTCTGTGCGTAAATGTGTGAGTGTGTGAAGGCAAGCGTCCTGTTTACTGCTGGCTGTGACAGTTTGAACAAACAAAACAGTCAATCTTAACCTAATTGTCCTTGCCAACATTGTTTGCCTTTAAATCTTTGTGCCTAATTCCTCCTCTAAGGCGACTAAATGTCATGTGTGCAAGCTTTCACCAACCTGCCAGTTACAGCCTTCACAGGAGAAGCACTAATGAGCAGAGCTACTTTACAGCCCCACAAACTACAAAACCGCCGGGTCAACAGGAGAGGGGAATTATAGATTTGTGAAAAGAGGCTTTGTATTCATGCAAAAAAAAGAAAAGAAAAAGACAATAGTGCTCACATGGCAGCAGAACGAAACAGACACGACACATTCAAAGAGTCATCTGACACACGGTCCAAAAAAGTAGCTGATCAGTACCAGAAAACACACTGTTAACAAAGCAAGCATGTAAACTACACAGACCACTTACTTACATGAATAACGGTGCACCTGACTGGCAGGAGAAAAAGAACTGTTCAAAAGCTCTCAGTTTTTAAATAATACCTCAAATCTCTGTTGACTGACAAGCTGTGGCAGATCTGCTGCGAGGTTTAAGTCCTTCACCGAGCCGTGGATGTAGAAATCCCTGGTCAAAGATTAAAGTCCTGTGTTCAGAACA